AAGATCTCTTCATATCTCAGTTATTAAAAATGATATAGAGTTCAACCTGGCAAAGATGGAACCGATACCGGTCTATATTTTCCGCTTTACTGCTCTATGATTGTATTCAAGGTACGAAAGTAACCCACAAGAGAGTTCACTGCACAAGAAGATTTCATTTTAAGCTTCAGCCTGTTGTCTGTAGATCGATATTTTGTCGATAGGTCGGGTTTTCCTGATAAACTGGCGCATCATCAGTAACTCAACTATTTTTGAAGATAAATTGATGATTTTAACATAATTCGATGCAGAAGACAATGTTGCTCTCAACTATGTAAAAAAATCTTAAAAAAGTTTACGAGAACCTCACCTAATGTAGGTTTTTTTCAGAGCTATTAAAAAGCTGTTCCAATTAGGAACATTGACTCTATGTAATTCGATGAATTTCTTGTGGTTTTCGTTTTGCTCATCTAATGCTTATTCGATCAATCATTAACTCTAAAATAGTTCTTGGTGACTAGTCGCTTTCCGGAATCATAGTATTTACAAGTTGGCAGAGACCGGCTATACATTTAGTGAGAGTGTGGGTGTGGATATGATTGAATTGAAGACTCACATCCACACCCATCCAATTTGAGATTGTAGAGTAAATGGAGTGAAATCGGTAGATATCAATTTCAGACAGATTTTCACATCTGATCTGGCACCATCGTGTAGGAGTCGTATTATCTTGTCTTATATGCTTCGTTCGGGATGAAAGTTAACTGATCTTATATGATCAGACTGGTGTCGTGATAGTGGTTCTTGTACGTTTCATATCTTTTGACTCTTGTAAGATTTTTGCTTGAGTCACACGATAAGAATCATTAGAAGTCTTGAAGTAATGCTTATGATACTTATTTTGACTGATCTGTTCGTGTAATCTTATGAAAAACCTTGTATGGTTATGATCTTACAGGACCGTGTTGGATCTTATGTCTGACTTTTCGACCTAGGTAATTGTAAAAGGAATTTGTTTATTTAGAGTTTTCTTTCAAAGAGAGATTAAAGGGTGTGGGTGTAGGTGGGTGCGGATGTGGCTATGGAAGAGGACAAGATCCACACCCACACCTAGCCATACCCTTCTAAATCAAATCGATTCAATTGTAGACAATACTACATCGTAATTGTATTTGCTAATACAGGTGTTTTGTTAAATATAATAGTTTCTTTTATTGATCGTTTAATAGATTTCATATTTTTCTTGACTTTTTGCCTGCTTAACTTTCTGTTGCTTATTGTTTTCGTACTGAAGTACCTGCGCTCATCGTTTCGGTTCTCATATTTACTGTCTTATTGGATCGAAGGGCAGTGAAATAATACTACGCTTTGGTTTGTTTATAATGTCAATACCACAAGAAGTCATAAAGGTTTTTTTCCAACTTTCAAAGAAAAAAAAATCAAAAGTAAATATTGATCATTCGCGACACACCATACTTTAATTCTGTTTATGGTGATGACAAGTATTCAAAAACACACATGCAATGCAGAGCGTTGACAGAACAGAAACAAAATAACTGCTATATATTGTGTATAAAAGCGCATGTATTTCTCAAAATTGCGACACAGTAAGCAAGTGAAAGATTGAAACATCATGAAGAACATGAAGTTGATGTTACTTTTTCAGATATAGATTCTTCAAGTACAATCTATTTGTCAAATAGAACTTTGCTGACTATTGATCTATCTGTGCAACAAAGTTTCGAGCAAGTCATCAGTGTCAATATTGAAAAAGTAAGTAAAGAAAAAGGACGTTTAAGTAATCAGTCATGTCATATAAAATGTTGGAAAAAGTTCAAGAACAAATAAAATGTGTTCGTATTGATCGTGCTTTATTCAAAACAATAACAAAACAATTCTATTCTGACGGATAATATCATTCGAAAGAGAAAAGTGTAACTGTCAAAATATACTGACTTACTTAGAAAATAGATAATGACATTAAGATATCTTGTTTTTGTATCAACAGATGTCACTCTGTGTCGCTAATCTTTCTACTCTTTTCCTCATTGGATTTTCTCATCCTCTTTGATGTTTTAATAAATATAATTATAATAATTAGTATTACTATATATGTAATTGTTATTAATTATATATTTTCATTTCTTTAAAATAACAAAGCATATTAACAACTATATAAATAAATTTTATTCATAAATCAGAAAGACAAGATACGGTAGGGCCTTTTGAGTGAACTCTCTTATTCTTGAGTAGGAGAAAATCCCAAGTTTATTTACCATTTAGCCCTAATTAAGGGAAACTGAAAGTAAAGATATATCTCCGATTGAGAGTCTCACAATCTTGAAAATGCAAAGTCTGAATACAGTAAAGTTCTTTTCATTGGCTTTCATAAACTTTTCCTTTATAGTAAAATTAGTTCATTTTATTCTCAGAGTCATTTGTGCTTCACTTTGAGGCTCTCTAATTATCTTTGTCATAAAGCCAGATAGAGTACAAAATTCTCAACGAAACGGTGTGCTTTGACAATGCCAAAACAGATATCCAAAAGCAGTCTGAGAGATCTTTATGAGAGAGGTGGTTTGTTGTCAGCGCAAATTCACTGTTGTTGTTGTTGTTGAATATTATGTACTTCTTTCGAGTTTTCGTGTTCGATAGTCTTATATCGCACCATTTTGTAGAAAACTTTGTGCTCTATCTGACTCAATGACTAAGATAATTAGAGAATCTCAAACTTAGGCAGAAAAGATTATGACAATAAAATTAACTGATTTTACTACAAAAGAAAAATTCATCAATGCAGTGGTGACTTGAGCAAGAAGTGTCGGGGTGTAACGCCTACCAACCTTGGAAAATTTTCGTTTCTTCCTAACAGAACCGAAACACGTTTTTTTTTGCGTTCTATCAGAAGAAAGGTATTCTTCCTTTGTAAAAAAAAAAAAACATTTTTCCGCCGTCCAATGTTGATTGCTTCGGGCCATCACTGTATCAAAGCCTATGAAAAATAATTTCGCACTACATTCAAATAACTCATCCAACTAATAAAAAAACTAGTTCTTCTATGAAAATCCTAGAAATTTCGGGCTTTCGTTTGTAAGCTATCTTTTTTTCAAAATAAATCAGTACATTTTGATGGTCACATTCGTCTCTTTCAAATAGTATTATTCTTAATAACAGAATTATTACTTATTGTTTTGAATAAAGCACAATCAATATGAACATATTTTATTTATTCTCGAACTCTTTTTTACCAATTTATTGCATATATATGATGTACGAACTACCTCAGTTATAAGAAATTCTTTTGAATATTTCACAAAACAATCTTTTGTATATTTTATTCACTGTATTCTAAAAAGTTGACATTACGAGAACGTGTCCTCGAATATTTTCTTTCAGAAAATGTGTCTTGAAAACGGCGAACTCTAAATATTTTAACAAGAAACCTCATCGTCGTACTAGACACTATTGAAGTGACAAAAAAAAACAGCAATTTTTCTCTCTATTCTCTTCATATAAGATTTATACTTCATACAAAAATAGAAAGAAAAAGTAATCATTATGTACAAAGTTGTCCATTTTTTTTGTTGTTTGTCGCAACGGACATGATGCAGTAACAAATATTCGAAAGAAAAAAACATTTCCATCATTCAATTTATTTTCGCTTTCTTGACTACTTGGTACCCAGAAGGCGAAAGTTTCGTTTAGAATTGAATGAGTTCATATGCTTACAATAGTCAATTCTAATCAAACAATAACAACATTCGTGGAGTTGAACTTCAAAGTTGAAGTTAATATATAACAGAAGGCAATTTATTCATAACCACTGTAATTGAATACGTTTCTATTGAACTCAATTAGGGCAAATAATATATTGTTTTTTGTGATCACTTCAATGATGAAGAATCTTACTTCATCGAAGACAAATTTTTATCTAGAATAAAAATTGCAGATAATATCAGTAACCAACATGAAAACAATTATGTTTCATACGTTTATATTAAGTATTTCAGCTCGTGTTCATAGTTTTCTGTTGACTTGTAGGAAAAAATATTGGACAAATTTAAATGGCATTCGGTACGTCAATATCAACAGCAATAGATAATATAATTCAACAAGCGAATGAGGTAAAAGTATGTCAAGATCATTTGAAACTGATAACAACTAGTTTAACTCGTCTTCGACATGGATTGAATAACCTAGTTACACCATTAGATGAAAATCATTCACAAGAAGATCTTATACAAATACTCAAAGCTATCGATGAAGTTGTTACTAATTGTAATGGAAATGAAAATTATCTTAATGGAATGACTTATCCAGACCTCGAGTCTGTACTACTTCGTCTTCATTTTCGACTAGCTCAACATGAAGCTAATATAACAGATGACTATGAAACGACAGTTCAAATACTAAGTAATGCTTGCCAGAAACAGCAGCTTCTTCTTCAGGAGTCCTTTAATGAAACAATGAGACAAAGATTAGAAACTATTGAACAATCTACCAAAAAAAATATCATAGAACAACTTCATCTTTTACATGAAAAATATCTTAAAACGATTGAATCCTATCTTCGTACTTGTGTTGAACTACATAAAAGTGAATCACCTACTGATCTTACTGGTGATATTGTTGCCAAAGTTACTCATAATTCCTATCAAATCTCTTACAAAGAACGAATGACATTAGAACATAAATGGCGATCATGTAAACTACCTCCCACACGTACATTCATTCAATTTAAAGTTGATAAATCTACATCATTCGAAAGAAATGAATCACGACGATTGCTTATGAACAATGAAGCCAATATGTTACAGGATGTACACAGTAGAAAAGAAACATTTAAAGGAATATGGGAACGACTAATAGCAACTCCTTACATGATGTCGATGGTTGAAAAAGATTGTCATTCGAAAGAAGACAATATCAGTGTGGAAAATATTCTTCGATCGAAACGTTGGATTGTTATTTTGGGTGATCCAAGAAGTGGAAAAACAAGTTTTGCTCGATGGCTTGTTCATCATTTGGCTCAAACATTGCTTCTCAAGGAAGTAGATTCAACGGATTATGATCCTCTTCGTATACCAATTCTGATTCGTATTGGTGAATTTGCTGAAATACTGAAAGAACAACCATCACTCACTTTGTTTGATTATATTGGAAAACATAAATGGATGGGAAAGTCAATTATTGATGATTCATCGATCTCTTCTGAGAATTTATCATATGCTCTTCAAGATTATATTAAACAAGGTCAAGCTCTAATCATACTTGATGGTCTTAATGAGATTCCTGTTTCAAATGAACGTTCAAAAATTATTAATCTAATTGAAAACTTTGTTAATACTTATGTTCAGATACCCACAGGTGTTTCTATCTTTGACAATGTATATTTAAGCAAATTATTCGATGATCCATCTCGATTAGGAGGTAATCAATTGATCGTTACAAGTCGTATAGTCAGCTATCATGCTGCTCCATTAGCGGGCCAATTTACTCATTACACAATTCAACCTATGAATGTGAAACAAATAAAAGATTTTGTTGATTATTGGTTTTTTCGTGTTCATCAACGTATCATTGATATTTTATGTCTTCCATTAGTTAATCAAGGAGAAAACCACAGTGAAGCACTTAAAAAAGAATTGGAAAAAATTCAAAATGTTGATCTTCTTGATATAGCTTCAAATTCTGGTTTACTATCATCTATTTGTACCATACATTTTAGTCAATTAAATGGTCCATCTTTACCTACTCAAAGTATTCTTCTATATGAATCAATTGTCAAATCAATGTTAAATTTGTGGCATAGTAAAATACCAACTATTGATACATCAAAAGTGATTCGAATTTTGAGTGATATTGCTTTTTATATTCATCAAAATCCAGCATCAAATTGTATTGACAATGAAGAAATCAAAGATGTTTGCGCTCAAACGATCCAAGCTTCTATAAGTAAAACATTACTAACGACAGAAGATATCTATCATATTGAAAGACAAGCAACTGAAATGGCACAAGTCATTTGTGATGATGTTGGTATTTTAGGTTCGCGAGGTGAATCACTCTATGGTTTTCTTCATTTACCATTGCAAGAATACTTCACTTGTTTGAAACTCATTAACGTAGATATGCCAAGACGTAGAAGTTTTGTTACTGATGGAATCGATCGAGACAATAAAATTCAATTTATCGTTCAAATGCTGTGTCGTCATACAGCTGATCTACGATTTCGAGTACCAATCACACTTGCTTTCGGGAAAATTAGTTCTTCTTGGTCTCAAAACGATTTTAACGATCTCTGCTACGAATTTATGGAAGCGCAAGACACATTTGATTCGTTGTTACCACTTGGTGCTTATATATTAATTAATTGTGTCAATGATTTTGTTAATTATCCATCAAATGATATTTTGTTTAGTGCTTTAGATCGTTTAATAATTGCAGCTGGTCAACATAAATGGTCAATTGTTTGTCCATTTCTATTTGATCAAATTACAAGTGCATTGAAAAAATTTCCACATGATATTATTTCACTATGGATTAATAAATTATTATCTCAGTCCTCTCAACATAATATTCAAACAATAACAGCTCTTTGTCATCTTCTCGAAGGAAAACCTCATGAATTTGAAAATATTCAATGGCTAGATCAATCATCTTGTTCAATACTTCAATCCTTGTCAATACTTGATAATGAAAATAATAAATTTGCTATTGATCGACTATTAGTTAAAATTGCTTTCTCAAATCATCAGTTATTACCACCTTTCAATCCAACTACTTTCAAAGGATTCTTACTTGATAAAAATATTGAAATAAGTTCAATTCCTATGATTCTCTTTCCTTTAATCATTATTTTATATGGTGGTTTAAGACGAGATGGTCAAACTGTTGTCTTCGATCCATCTCATATTCATCGAGAATCAACTGTAATAACACCAATTTTAATACGTTTTCTTTCCGGAAAAGATCATGATAAACAAGATCAAAGTTTAAAAAAATTAAAACAAGAATGTATAAAATCTTTCGTAATACGAATGGAAAATCATGATGAATCTTCAGAAGCAATTGATTTATGTATCGCAACTATATGTTTTTATAATATTGAATATATACAAGAGAATTTGAAAATGATTTCCGATTCTCTTTTACGTATGAGTTTGAATCGATTAAAATATATTTCAATGATTTTACGTCAATTCTATTTTGTTGCTGATGAAAATGATCGATCTATGGAAAATGAAACAACAAAATTTATTTCAACTACTATCGAAAAATTTCAATATGTTGAATCAGCAAGAATTAATTTTCTGGATTTGTTAGATTCACTGAGGACTAGTGTAGCTCGCTTGCGATCTTCTTCAAAATCAATTTTGTTGGAAGGAGAATCAAGACCTAATACACGAGTAACATTACATTTACCTAATTCTCTTCGACAAGAGGGTAAGTTTCTCAATGGTCTTTTATCAACAGATGTACAATTTTATTCCGATCGAAAATCTTGCTCAATACTTCATCATTTCACTAAACTTTTCTGGCCATTAGAACATAATGATGAACTTGAGACACAATACAGAATGGCTGTTGCTCTGGATAAAGTACCAGAATATTTACACTTTCGCAATGATGAAGACCTTTTATTTCCATTAACATTTGTTCCTTCACATTTACGAAATCTTTATGTTCGATTGTTGAAAGGAAAATTTATTATGATCAATTCAAAAGATTTGATAATCAATAACAGACAACATCTTTATTTTGGTCACATTCTAATTGAATGTTTGATGTTTTTATCAAATGCATCTTGCAAGAGACTGTCTATTCTAAGCGCTTTAATCACTCTACTACCTTGGCTTCGAATGCATCAATTAGAAAATTTTGGTAGTAGCCTTTTGTGGACATTATCTATAAAAGATTCCTCTATGTTGGGCACTTTTGAGATAAAAAAACAACGTTCAATAAATTATGAAACTGGACAGTATACGGATACAGATGAAAATCCTTTTACTGGAACTGATCTAATAGACGAACAACAAAAAACAATTATTCGAAATAATATTGAACAAGAATATGAAAGACTTCAAAATGCTTCACTTGTAAATGATACATCAAACATAAAACTTTATTCTGCATCAATCTCTTTGGCACATATTTGTCATTGGAGTGAAGATGAAAGAAAATTATCTTTATTAGAACAATGTATACATGGAGCTATGTTAATTCAGAATAAACTTGCTCGTCTCGATGCATTATGTATAATTGCTTTATATTCTTATTCTGATTATGATCGAATTAAAGTAGGTAGAGATAGATCTCTACAAAAGGAAATTGAACATCAGTTGAATGAAATTTATTCAAATCTACCTCTTCTATTACAAACAGCTATTGTCATTCGATGTTTACCTTTACTTCAACATTCACAAATGATTGATAATTGTCTTAAAAATCTTTTTGATAAATTTGTCAATACAGATCGACGAGATCAACAAGCAGTTATTGAAGCATTATTACCATACATGCAATTAAATTACATTTTTTCATCGATTACAAATCGTTTTTCATATAGTTTACAAGAACAAAATAGAATAATACATAATAAATCTTCTTTGTTGAAGAAATCTTTTAATATTGATCCACACGAAAATTTATCATTTTCATTATTTATTTCTAATTTATATCTTATGGAATTAGTTAATGATTTTCATGAATGTATTAAAATGGATAATCGTCAATTTATCATTGATGAATCAATTACAACAAAATTATTTCAATTCGAAAATTGTATTCTAACCGATGCACAAGCATTAACAATAACTAATATTCTTTCATTCGCTTCGCCAACAGATCAATCTAAACAATTAGACAAGCTTTGGGTTATATTAAATAATGCTCTTCATCGTATAAATTGGGTAGAATTTAAAGCATATCGTTTGTTAGAATCTTGGCTGAAATGGAAAGATTCAAATGAATTATCTTCATTTGCTTATCATGCTGCACTTCTTCTAATTAATTCTGATTTATGGTCTGTCGAAGCTACAATAATTGTATGTGATCTTTTATGTAATGATGATGATCGTTTTCGTCACAGAGCTGAAATTCTGTTTCGATCATCAAGTGATAATGATGTTCGGACTGGTTCAAAATTGGGTATTGATGTTTTATTAACTTTAATTAAGAAAAAAGTTCATTATCAATCAACTTCAGCATCTGCCAAACTTACGTTAAATCGAATGCTCGGAAATATAACTCTAGATGTTCAATCTCATCTAGAAATGTTACTTTGGCTAGAAAGATATAGAATTCACGCATTGACTAATAAGAAATATTCCTTCAACACATCAAACTCGAAGAGAAATGCTTATGTAACTTCATTTTTTTCAACGGATATAGCCATAGATGCATGCACCTATGTTAATATGTTTCGATTGTCTGGTGATTTGATAATATATATGTGTGATATGATTGCATCAAATTTATTTTCATTTTTGGAAATTGATGGAGATACGACATCAAATACAGTTTGTGTAAGTCATACTCGATTTGTTGTTTCAGTAGTTTTAACTTTACATAGTTTATTGAATAATACTGATGAAACACGTCAAGTAGCATTTGATGCTCTTATGAACTTATTTGAAATATCCGACAATAATGAAATTCGTCAAGCAGTAGCATGTGCTCTTAGTTATGTATGTAATGAACAAACATATAAAAGTTTGTTTGAAAAAATTATATTAGTAATGAATTGCTTATGCCAAGAGACTTCTACCTATTCTAATAATGTTTTAAGTGCACTAATTTTAAGTTATTCCTATTGTGTATCTATAAACAAAATTGCATTTGATCAAGATGATATGGATTTATTTTGTACTTTACTACAACATCAATCGCAGGATATTTCAAAAGCTGCTCGTACAGGATTTGGTCGTGTTCTGAAAGATACATCATTTCTACTTGAAATGTTTAGCTTTGATTATATTCAATGTTATCATGCATTGATCGAATCGACTGCATGCTTATATCTTTACGATGTTCAACAAAATAGTGAAAATGCTATTGCAAAGTTTATTGAAGAACATCCTACTCTTTTGTCAATCTTTATCATCGAAACATACAATAGCATTAGCCGATTTACTACTAGAGTATTACCGATGGGAGACATAGATTATGATTTAGCTTATGGATATCCTCAATATGTGAAAATTGCTAGTTTAATCGCTATACAAATGCCGGTAGCCTTTTGTGCTTCTATCAAAGATTGGCCCGATGGAGATAACTTGAAACATGCATTGTTTTATACTAGTAAACAACATAATTACCCACAACGTGCTGCTTGCCTAACTATTTTATCATTATTGGGTGAGTTAACAGTCGACTTATGTGAGATGTTCATTGAAGCTGTACGTGATGATCCATATATTCAAAATACTTGTTATAAATGTATTACACGTATTCATTCTATTAAAGATGAAAATGTTGTTTTAAATCTTTTGTTTTCTTATTTAAAATCAAAATCAATGAATGTTCGATATATTACAGCTAAAATACTTCTTCATCTTTCTCAATTATTTCTTATTCCATCTAAACAAGTTCAAACAATATTGAATAATCTTATGTTAGATCCTAGTTCAAATGAAGATCTGTGGTTAATTAAAGAACAAGATAATATCTATGCAGAATGTGTATATTACTATGCTGGTCCATTGAAAGATGTTATTTATTCACTTCTGGTTGAAAATGTAACTGGAAATAAAAGTGACAATGTTCGAAGAAATGAATATAATGATATTGATTTGAATTTTATTGAATCTGAAAAAGTGTCTCGCTTCGCTTCATGTCTTTATGAAGAAAAAACTGAAGAAAATGTTCAATAAAAAGAAAAGAAAACAAATTATTTGTTTTCCTACAATGATAATTTTATGCAAAATTTCTTTTTCCTTGAACATAACTTTGATGAAGAAAAAAAAAACCCAGAAAAATGTGTTCATTTGATGATCAATTCTTTTTTTTCTGCTATTCGTAAAATGGAAATAAATATTTTTTAATATTAGAAAGTATCTTCTGGATTTATACGAAAATTAAATACTAATCAAAATATTATTGAACGATCATGAATCTATCTATGATAAACAATATTTTGATGAAAATCTATAGGATAAAACTTCATATTTGATTTGATATCATCATCTACATAATCAAATTATGACGAATGATTTCAATCATCTCTAAATGTTTTTTGTTTTTATAATTTATTTCAGATTAAAATATAGTGAATAATATTCTTTTGAACAAACCTTCACATTTCAATTTGTATCCCATCGAAATAATAATATAGTGATGATATTTCATTTAGAAAAATTTATATAACTAATTTAAGAACATATAATAAAATACAAAAGAAAAATATCTTTCAAGATTTAATCAAATTCATGAGATAAACACATCTCATACAGACAAGTAAATGTTTAAAATACTGTTTCAACGCGTTCAGATAGAAAAAAAAAACGCTTTACAATTGGTTCAGATGATGTATCAGGGATATCAAAAAAGAAAATCTTAGTATTCAGCATATGCACATTCGATCATGTCACATGGTCTACAAAACTATCTGAAGACCGTTTAGGCATCGTTATTAAGTGTGTTAAGAGTTATTATTCAGCATTTTTTTTTTAGAGACACACATAATGATATTTTTTTATCACCACAACCATATGAAATAATTGTTCCTCTTTGACAAAATATAATATTATTTCTTTAAAAGATATTTTATCGTCAAATATTCCTTTATTCGAACTAAAGTATCGTAACAACAGTTGCAATGTAAATAATTAGACTGATATGCGATGATCCATCGTAAAAAAGGTGCCATGTCCATTCTTTTTTTTTCATCGACTGTTGTTCATATTTTGTAAAGGCATAAGATGTCAATAGGAAACTCCGAATTTTACAAATCATTTTTTTATGAGTTGCTTTAGGAGAATATTATTTTTCTTATCATCTAATATAGTCTGTGATCAGATATGAATAGCAATAAATTTTTCGAGTGCAATGAAATTGAAAATGATTG